GCTGGCATGTGGTGCTGGGGGATTGAACCGCGGTCCCTGATGCTTTTGCTAAGCTTGTTCTAAGTAGGTGCTTTGGACCACTGAGCCATCTCTCCAGCCCTAGGTGTTTCTTCTTAGGAACATAAAGAGGCACCAACATTACTGGAATATTCTCCCGACTTTTGACAATAGCTTGTAGATTCAACAAATATTGTGGTTTCCTGCTAGATCACAGCACTTTGCTAAAGCTACCCAAAGATTATTGTCCCATAGACTTCCCGGTGTGGAATTTTGCAGGGATGTCCCATGAAAGAAACACATTTTACAGTAATCTCTTATTGAGCAATCAGCTTTCCTATGTGGGAAAGCTTCTGTCCAAACAGAAAACATACAAACTAGTATAAGCACATACTGGAAACTTATGGGGTGGGAGAGACTGAATGAAGTATGTCTGTAAATGTTGAAAGGGACCATCAGATGGTGGAAATACACCACCCAAAGTTTCTATCATCTTTTCAGAATCATGGGTTATTTTACCATGTTTTGATCAGTGGACCCGTGTTAATCACATGCGAATGAACAATAGCAATGGTAAGCACAGGACTCTTAAACTTGCTTCTGGTGTTCTCCCAAAAGTAGAAGCTTTATAGAGACTAACAGTATGCCATTGAGGAAAGTGTTGGAGCATGTTACATGTTTAAGCCTAACTGCAGACCATCTGTATCTGCTTAATCATCTCCTTAGGTGACAGGAAGCTCACGTTGAATATTCCACATACAACTCATGATTTGTCTAACCACAACTGATTATTGAACCAACAGATAACAGGATGGACCATATACCAATCAACAATATTGACAAAGTCCTTAAAATCTGGTATTCCAAATGATGTTATAAATGGGTTAAAGCTCTTCCACACTTGTTTTGCAGTTTTTGTTCAGACAAAGCAATTGCAATCTCAAACATTACATCATATACAAACTTATAAAATGATGCAATTCTGCAATTTTTTTTGGCAGGGATGGGGGGGTTGATGGGGTCTTTTTAGTTCAGGCTGGTTTTTAACTCCTGTCTTAGCTTCCTAAGTACGATTACAGGTGTGGACCACCACATCAAGTGCTGTTTCTTGAGGTTGAAGGTAACTACAAGGGTGGCCCCAGTTTCAGACATTTTGGAGAATGTGTCAGCTTTTGCAGTTGTCAAGGTATCATATAATCCAGACTAAATACCATTCCAAGAGTTACTTTATTGAGTCTCCCATTCCATATCAAGTTTGCTAAGCCTTTTTTAGTTTCCTTTGGCATCTTTCACCGGATCAATTCCAGAACCCCAGTCTCTGTCCTTGTGGAAACTGCAGGAAAGTAACTTGGAAAATCAAAATTGTAGGATTGATCTTCCTCCACTGTCATGCTAGGGTTCATTGCTACTTTTCCTGACATTTTGGTTGCTGCTACAAATGTTCTTTGTTGTATTTGGAGCCAAGAATGCTTCAGTGTTTCTTAGATGAGTTTTGCAACCTGAAATCTGTAAAACTTTGCTTGTAAAACTGTATAAAGGCTGTTAATTAGAAAAACCTTAGGGACTTAAGTCTTACAGAAATCTTCCTAGCTTCCTTTCGTCCCTCCCTTTGAAGAAGTTTTAGAAAGGTCATTAACATACTCTTCCAGTTCCTTCCATTCTGCTCCTGGGATCTTCTTTTTGTTTTCCCCTAGAACTTGAGATTGAATTTAGGGCCTTTGCACCAGGCTACCTTTCTCACCCCCCAGCCCCCTTTATTTTGAGACATGGTCTCACTAAGTCACAACTTACCCAGGCTAGGTTTAAATTTGTAATCTGTCTGACTCAGCCTCCAGGGTAACGTGATTACTGGATATACTATTATGATACACAGGCCCACAATTTTGACAGATAAACCTTGATGGTGTTCCAGAAAGTAGAGTCCTGGACTTTTTGAATTGTGAAGAGGTTGTAATCAAGAATCAACAAACAAAAACCCTTTAGAAATAAAAATACTGTTCAAAACAATTTAATTCTGAACTCAGACACCTGAGGCCTTTTGATTGAATCCAACTTAGAAAATTAGAGGACAAAAAGAAGAAAAAAAGAAATTAAGTTTGTTCAAATAAGCTGAGAGAGCTCACAATACAAAGAGAATGCAACTTGGGGTCCAAGGTAAATTTACTGGAGCTTCGGTTGTTGGAGAGATCATGGGTCTAAATGGTTTTGCTGGGTTCCTAGAGCAGGGGCTTGCTGTCCCCCCCCCCCCCAAATAAGCTGAGACACACTGCTAGACCCAGATCTATGACTGCATACCCCCCCCCCCCCCCCCCCCCCCCCCCCCCCCCCCCCAAAAAGGAAAACTGAAGAGTTCAACTTAATAACATTTATTTAAACAAGAAATACAATCAGGCAGCACTTCAGACCAAAAACATTTCAGATTATCCACCTACAATGTGTGAGCAGTATCTATAACTAGAAAAACAGGAACTGTCCAAAGATTACCTGAATAGCGCAATTCAGCATTTGCCTTATTTGGAACAATTTGGCAGCCTTCAGTTTGAGATTGGCTGAGGTTTAGTTGCCTGGTTACCAGATATACTCTTAAATTAAGATACAATCTACAGTAGTTGCACATCAAGGTAGGATGCAGTTCGTTGTATATGGAGGCCACTTCAGGCCAAATTTTACAGTTCTTGTAGGACACCAGTTCAGGCCACATTTATTACACAGAACCAAACAAGTATGGCACAGGCCGCTAATTAACACACATCTGCGCGCTTCCCAGTCCCGGCCAGCTCCGCCTCGCAGGCTGCGGCCGGGGCCGGGCCGCGGCGACGACGAAGCGCCCAGCCCCCACCTGGCGCCGGACCCGCGAGCCTCACCCACGTGGCCCCGAACGCACCAGACGGCGCACACCCGTTCAAAGTCCAAGGGCAGCGGCGCGGTTCTGGGATTTTGGGCTTTGCGAGTTCCAGCTCAAGCAACGAGGGTCATGAAAAGCAGCAGCCAGGTCGCAGCCTCTATGCCACTTCTCTCGCGCCTCTCAAGCTCCTGCCCGCGCGCCGCCGCCCAGACCACGGTGGCAGTAGTCGGGCGGGAGCCGGAAGTCAAGATGGCGACGTTCCGCCTTCTCTCGCGAGTGACGAGAAAGAAAGAAGGTTGGACGAGGGATGGGACATCCAATGAGAAGGCAGGAAGCGCGTGACAGGCGGCTACTTTAGCCTCTCTGCAGGCCCCACCCTGGCCGGGAGGCTCGGTAGCAGCCCGCCGCGCCCTCCCTTCTCCGTCCTCCTTCCCCTCCCTGCTCTGCTCTTCTTTTCCCGTCTGAGGTGGTGGCCGGTCTCGCCTCCTTATCAGCTCCATTTTACCACTTCTGTGGTTTTCTTTTCCCTCGGGTCCGAGAACGGCCCGAGCATCTTCCCGCCTCCGTAGGGCGGCTGCAGAGCCCCGGCGCGTTCTTCTCTCTCGGATCTTCAGTCCTCGCCCTGCTCAGTCATGAATGAGGAATACGACGTGATCGTGCTGGGCACCGGCCTGACGGTGAGCTACAGGCGGAGAGAGGATGCGCTTCGCGGGAGAGAGGGACGCCTCGTGGGTGCTGGCCCCGGGTGGGGGGAGCGAGGGCCTCGCCCAGCCCTGCCACGGTCCCCCGCCCGCGAGGTGGCGGTGGGTGCACCCCTACCCCAGGCACTAGAAGGTCCTGCACCCGAAACCAGCCGGCCTGTGATCGCATCTCCTCGGGGGGCTGTATTTCATAGGCGCCTTGCTTTTCCCGAAAGGGGTCCTGACTGGCGGAGATGGACTGGTTCGAAGGCGCCCAAGCGAGCAGGGTGGAACGGGTAGCCTCCACAACCCAGGCCGTGTGGCTGCGAAGCTAGTCTGTTGGGTAGTAATGGCCGAGTAAAAAGCAAGCGAGAAAAGAAAGCTGCAGGCTTTTGCCGAATTGAAGAGGAAAGGCAAAAAAGCCAGCTGTAGGGTGCAGATGCTTCTCCTTTTGGGTCGATGACCTCTCCCTATTGGGGGAAGAGCTCTAGGCGGAGGGGGAGGGGTGTAACCGCTCACAGTTGCATTTCCTATTTAGCCTGTATCACTGCTACTAGCCAGGCTGTGGCTGCTAAAGCCTGGCAAGTCCCAGGATAATCACTGCTTTGTGATTGGTAGTTTTGAAGAAAATGAAGAGATTGGTTTTTCTTTAAAATCCTTCTCTAAGTCTCACTGATTCCTTTAAACCACTTTCTCATTCCACTTACTGAGCATCTGCAGAATTGAAAATGAGTTTTCTCAAACCTCGTGTGCTCAAATGGTTTGGCACCAGACCTTTGCCATCTTTTCCTTTTGTTTGGTTTGTTCTCAGCCTCCACTGTCTCTTCTAGATTCTTCCCCTTAAGGAGTGGGTTGGTGGTTGCTAGAGGCTAAGATCGTGGTACCACAGAACTCCTGTCAGGGACTTAGAAGCTAAAGCAGTAACAGAGAATGCTTTGGTAATAGGTGAATACAAGGCATCTCAAATACCATACATATAGTACATATATTTGCTGGATATCTGGTTAGAGACGTTTAGATAATGTTCTGCAAACAATGTAGGCAGGTTTTGTATCTTGTACTTCTTTTGTTTTTTTCTTAATGAAATGAATATTAATCTTGCAGAACAATTCAGTTTTTAGAGAGAGCCATTGATTTGTTTCGGGAAATTTGAAAGTCCACTGTGCTATTTAATTAACATCGATATAAAAAACGTGAACTCTACATAATTTGACCTAATCATTTAATATAAACCAACACATCACATTTGTTGAAATGCACTGTATAATTATCAGGATAAAATTAACTTTTTTTCAGATAACACTGAAATATTTTAGGTTTCTCTAGGCAAGAGAAAATCTTTATGGTTTTATTCACCTTGCTACAATGATTGTCTTTTGTGGTGATTGGAGAGTACACATTTCTACAGTATGTTTGACCAGTCCAGAAATAGACATGTGACTGTTCAGGATATAGTAACAAACAGATGTGGTTGTTTATCTGGGAAGCCATTCAGTCATTTGGAATATGGGAGATGGTGTTGAATTTTTTAGATGGTAAATTTGGAAGACTGATGCCTATATACTGTTATATAAATAGGCTTGGCCGCTACACTTTAAAAAATAAAAAACCTAACTGCGATCTGCATTTTGTAGACAGTGGTGAAGCTTCATACGAATGAGTACTACTGCTGCTGGTGTGTTGTAAAAGCCATTCCACTGTCTTACTATGACTATTGCTAGTCATTCAGATTTGCTCATGATTACGGTCAGTTATTTTAACGTAGACAAGTGAGTACAAACGCATCATGCAGGTTTTCACACCCCTAATTCAGAAGCACCACTGTATGTCAAAGATAGCACAGTCTTACTGTGTAATGACTAAATTAAAATAATACACTTAAATTTTCATTTGGAATATGAGCTTATTGATGAGTAGTAGACACAACTGGAAATCAGACTCTTTGTAGTTCTGATAACTTGAATCTCTATGAAGCTTACTATATTATTTCATGAGATTTTTTGAAAATGATAATTCAGGGTGACTACATTATTACCATCATTGATAAGAGTGGTAATGACAGGATGATGTTGTTGAGAAATCTTGGACTCTTTAAAGGGTCTGACTTAGATGGCTGAAAGTTAAGTGAAGAGACCAATAAAGTTAAAAACCATTGGATTAAAATTAACTTTTGAGTGTTTGGAGTGAATACACCAGGAAATTTTTGGCTGTGATTTAAGAACCTAATAAAGGTATATGCCGTTTGGTTTGAGCACCAAATATTACATGATGCCCTATGTGTACTTTGAGTACCAATTACTTTTTCTGGTTTTGTTTTGATTTTTTTGTTTCTTTTCTTTTTTCTTTTTCTCCTCCTCTTTCTCCTCTTGTTCTTCCTTCTCCTTTCCCCCCTCTTCCCTCTTGTTCTCACAATGATCACAATGATCCTCCTGTCTCAGCCTCCCCAGTTCTAGGATTACAGGCACGTGTGCCACCACACCCGGCCTGGTTTTTTGAGGCAGTGTTTTGGTAGTTCAGGCTGATAATAATTATAATAAACAACACCTAAACAATCTGAATTTTTTAAAAAAAAAACCTGAATCAAGTCTATTTCTGTAAGAGAACATGAAGTAGCCTTTAAAAAGATTATTTTTAAAGAATTGAGTTACCCCATTAAAGTTATCCCTTTGTTCACTGGATTAAGGCCTAAGTGATATCCTAACTTGTTTAACAAATTAAGGAGCCAAGCTAATTTACTTGCTAAATAAGATTTCACATCATGAGGATTAATTATTGTGCTTTGCTGTAACAGTCATTAAGGGCAGTGAGCTTTGTAGGGAACTGAACCTTTAAATAATCTCAAACTGCTTTGCTTTTTGAATTGTTTTTAGATCCCTCCTCAATTTTCTTTGCAGTTAGGCTGGCAACTCCTATTTTTCTATGCTTTCAGTGTGTGTAGTCAGTCTCTCGCCATGTAATTTGCATGTAGCTCACTGTGTTTGGAAATAAATGGTGTTAGAAATAGTGTATTTAAAAGATGCGAGTATCTCTATAGCTGTGCAGTCTTTTTTTTTTTTTTTCCTATTTTTAGTTCTACACAGTAATTCTAGTAAGGAATTTTGATTAGAAATTACACTTTGATAATTAACTATGTTATTCTCAGCATTACATGTTTAAAAATTATTGTACATTCCAGACATTGCTTTTTTCTTCATTGAAGACATTTTATTTCAAATACAGGGTTTTATACTTGATTTAAAAGTACAGTATTGAAGTATAATTTAGATCGTTTCTTAGATTTGCAGAGTCTTAGATTTGCTCTTTGAAAATTTTTGCTATAACTGTGTTCTGCATAACAAGACATTAGAAAGTGAAAAGGCAAGCTGCAGAATGGAATATTTGTAGTACATATAACTGATAAAGGATTTTAAGTATCCCTATAACATATAAAGAACTTTGTGAAGCTGTAAGAAAAAACAGAAAGCTCGTTTTATTTTTTTTTATTTTTTTTATTTTTTTTGAACTTTCTGCAAAGCTTTATTCCGGAGGGGCTCAGTCCTTCTTGGCAGCTGCCTTCCTCATGGCGGCCAGCACGTTGCTCAGCTCCTCACGCTTCCTCTTGGCGCGGATGTGCGTCCCCACTCTTTTCTTGATGAACTTGAGGGCGCGCTTGTCCTTGGAGACCTTGAGCAGCTCCATGGCGCGCTGCTCATAGGGGGCGAAGCCGCACACTTCCCGGATCATGTCCCGCACGAACTTGGTGTGTTTGGTGAGACGTCCGCGGCGGCGGCTGTGCCTCGGTTTGCTCACATTCTCAGTCACCTTGTGGCCCTTGTTGAGGCCCACGGCCATGGGATAGCGGAGGGCCATGGCTACTCTTTTTCAATGGTTGCTGTGGCGGAAGGCGAAAGCTCGTTTTAAAAATGAGCAACACTTGCTGGGGATATAGCTTAGAAGCATAGCACCTGCCTGACAAGTGTAAGGTTCTGAATTCAGCTCCTGGTCCTCCCCTCAGCCCCATGCCCTATGAGCAAAACAGTTGAGTGAATACTTAGTTAAAGATATACCTGGATCACTAGTCAACTGTTTAAAAAGTAGTCTGTTAATAGAAAGTACAGATTAAATAATATTTTAACATAGTGGCTAAAACTGAAAAGAACAATTAGTGTTAGACAAGGATTTGCACTGCTGTTTCTACATTGCTGACAGAAGTAAATTGTACAACCATTTGTACAGAGTGGATTGGTCATGTCTGTTCTCATTATCTAACAGAAATTCACACTTGAAAGACACACAGGGAAGTGTTCAAGAGCATTATTTGTAATAGTCAAGAACTGGAAACTATCTAAGTGCCCACCAGTAGTAGAATGTTTACGTAAATTTTGGTGTATGTTCATGGGGTATATCCACAGGTTGTATTCATACCGTGGAGTCCTCCAGAGCATTGTTACCCACAGTACAGGTTGTGCAACTACAGGTGCAACACCTGAGAACTTACCAGGCATTCAGAAGCTTCATCTCCAAGCCAGATGTACCAGAGTCTACATTGTAAAATCCTTAGATGATTGTTGTTTGAAAAATATCCCCTTAGATGGGGCTTTCTAAATCTGTCCTGGACCAGCTTTCCCACCAGGAGGGGCCTGTTTGATATGCAGCTTCTCAGGCCACACCCCAGACCTGCTGACTCATTCTGGAGACTGTTTTATCCAGCCCCAGAGTCAGGAGTGCAGCCTGAGGTTTCCAAGTCTGTTTAAAGTGTTCATCTCTGAAGAACTTTGCAAGTGATACTAAACCAGGATCCATGCTTTGAGGTCCTGTGCTTGCAGGTACTAGGCATACTTTTTGTAAAGGTCCAGGTAGTAGTTTTTGCAAGACATGGTCTCTGTCACAACTATGCAACTCTCCTGTGGTACTGTGAAATAGCCAATGATAATACATATATAAATAGGCATGGTATTTCCTTTACAACTTTATTTAATAGTCTGTAGGTTCTATAATATATAGGCTCTATAATAATGAGAATAAATAATTTAGACCTTATTCAACCATAAGTGAATCTTTTGAACATAATGTTGAATAGAAGATATCAGATTAAAAACTACTACATAGGGCTGGTGAGATGGCTTAGTGGTCTAAAGCACCTACTTAGAACAAGCTAAGCTAAGCAAAGCACAGGGACCGTGGTTCAATCCCCCAGCACCACATGCCAGCCAGCCCTGCCCCCTGGTGGGCTGAGCTGGCCACACACACAAAATAAAAATAAATAAATAAGTAAATAAAGATTATATATATAAAAAAACTACTACATAATTGAATCTATTTAGAGTTCAAAAAATATCCATTTTTACTATAACATCAGAGTGAAGGAGGGTGATAGAGGTTATGACAGTAATGGGTATGAAGGCCTTTCTAGAACATGTTTTGTTTCTTGAGCTGAATGAAAAATGATGCACACTCTTATAGTAAAATTTGACCTGATGAGCCTTTTAGAACATGTTTCATTTCTTGAGCCAATTAAACATATTCCTACAGTAAAAGTTGAACCTGATGAAGTAATTTAAGTCATTTTTAAAATGCTAAATGGATAAATGCACTGTGTAGAAAAAAATGAAATTTTATGAATTTTTTAAAATGAAGATTTTTTTTTTTAAGTCGTTTAGACTATTGGGGAACCATATTATATTTCTCTACTAGTTAGGGTCTTTTGGTAAATTTGAGAAAAACTGTAGATTTATAAAGTTGTGGGGCCAGGTGTAGTGGCTCATGCCTATAATCCCAGCACTGGAGAGTGTGAGGCAGGAGGATCATGGTAAGTTCCAGGCTAACCTGGGTTACATAATGAGTTCAAGGGCAGCCTGAACTGTACATGGTAAGTTCAAAGAAGTTTGAACTATGTAAGACCCTCTTTCAAAACAAAACAAAAAAAGACTGGGGAAATAGGTCCGTGGTCTAAGTACCTGCCTGGCAAGTGCAAGGATCTGGGTTCAGTCCCTGATATTAACGCTGAGCTGGCTTCAGAGCCCCAGGTGCGCCAAGCTGCCCCCAAACAGGGCATGGTGGTGCATGCTTGTAATAGGGAGGTTAGGTAAGACAGGAAGATCAATATGAGTTTGAATTGTGTAGTGAGACCCTGTACCCCGCCCCCCCCAAAAAAGAGGTGGGATTTGCTTTTCTTCAGAAGCATAGGTTACTAAAACCCTGTATAGATCTTGTCTCATAGTAAAACATGAAAAGCTGGGTGGTAGGGCTTGGGTTATAGCTTACTGCAAAAACTTTGGATTTAATCTCCAGTATTGCCCAGAAAAGTTTTGAATGAATGTGTACCCCCATGTCTGTTTCTTTTCATGAGTCATCATAATTAGGTGATTACATAATCCAGCCTCTGTCCTTGCTTTATTTACCACTTTCCTGATAATTCTGTTTGCTTATTAATTCAGTAATTTTTTTTTTTTTTTTGAGACAGTCTTTATTTTGTACTGTAGGCTCGCCCTGCACTGCTGCACTCATTGTGTAGCCCAGACTGGCCTCAAATTTGAGGCAATACTCCTGCCTCGGCCTTCTGAGTGCTGGGATTACAGGTGTGTGCCACCATGCTCAGCCACTAATAGTTATCTTGGATACTTTTTCCTGAGCTGGAAGTAGTATCAGTGTTCCCCCTATTTTGTTATATAAAATATAACAGGATGAGTTTATTTATTTATTTATTTTTTTGGGCAGAACCGGGAATTGAACTCAGGCCCTTGCGCTTGCCAGGGAAGCGCTTATTCCACTGAGCCATCTCCCCGGCTCCTATTTTTCTTTTTTTTAAATGTATTTAGGACAGAGTCTACAGGATCTTACTACGTAGATCAAACTTGTAGAGATCTGCCTGTGTTCAGCCTCCCAAGAGCTGGGATTGCAGGTGTGCCCCACCATGCCCAGTCTCAGTTGTCTCAGTGCCCCTTGGGGGCGGGGCCGGCATGGCAGGCCCAGGGGGCCCAGGGATCAAACCCCTAGCCCCTGTGTCTGCCTAACAGGTGCTTTAACCCGCTGAGCTATTTGGCTAGCCCTAACACGATGAATATTTAAGAGTACATTTCATGAGGTTAATTTTTAGTTACTTTATTAAAGAAAGTGCCTGGTAGTAAAGAATGTAATAACTGCTAGTGTAGTTTAGAGTCTCTGTCACAATTTTGTTTTTATCCATCATTTACTTTGTATCCTCAATGGAGTTGTCAACCCTGTTTTTAAAAAGTGACTCATATTCTTGCCGTTTTAACCTTTAGATCTACAGAGGTTCGTGGTTTAAGACTATACTTTGAATCATGGTTATTTTAGGGTTTTCTTCTTGAATTACATCATATTCCATGGATATAAGTGTTAATTACAAAGAGAATGTTTAATGATAGGCTTGCTATTTTTTTGTTTTTGTTTTTGTTTTTTTTGTTTTTTGTTTAAGGAGCAATTCTAAACATACTGTAGGATTCCCTTTTTTAAAAAGGTTTTAAATTTATTTATTTATGTATTTGGTACAGGGTTTTCCTACACAGCTTGGACCTGTAGTAATCCTCTTCCCTCTGCCTCTCCAGGGCTGGGATTACAGGTGTGCGTCACCATTCCCGGTTTCAGTGGCCAGCACAGTGTGCCTCGGGTTCCGCATGTGGTATTGGGAATGGAACCCAGGTCCTTGTGCTTGCCAGGCAGCCACTTAGCCTGCTGAGCTATCTCCCCAGCTTGGACTTTCCTTCTTTTAAAAATACTTATGTTTTCACTGTAGGAATGTATCCTGTCAGGTATAATGTCAGTGAATGGAAAAAAAGTTCTTCATATGGATCAAAATCCATATTATGGAGGAGAAAGTGCATCTATAACACCGCTGGAAGATGTAAGTATTAGTAAAAAATAACATGTCTCATAACTTCTGAGCATTTACTTGTGAATCTGCATTTTATTCCTAAGAGATGATTTAATTTGTTTGAATAGAATGTCTGACCAGGCATGGTAGGGCAGGATTGTAATCTTGGAAGTTGGGAGGCTGAAGTAGACAGTCTGTGTGTTCAGGGCCAGCCTGAACAGCACAGAAAAACCCTGTTTCAGAGGGGGAAAAAAAAATCTGGAATATCAAAATTTCTTTGGAGATTTGAGTTTGGGGCTTGTATAAGTTCAAATTATGAACCCTGTTACCATTTAACACTTGTAATCACTATTAATAAAATGTAAACAAGGAGGAGTGGTAGGCATGCCTAATGTGCTAGGTACAGTGCTGTTGCACTCCACACAGTCTTTCAGTCAAAGATGTATTTTTTTTTCAAAGATGTATTTTTATCTTGTTTTCAGATTACAAAAATATCTCTGTAGTGTTAAAGTCTCAGGGATAGATTGTGAACCTATACTGTACAACTCAAAATTTAAGTTTATTTTGCCATATGGCTTTTTTTTTTTTTGAGACAGTCTATAGTTCAGGCTGGCCTTGAACTTGCGGCATTTCTCCTGCCTCAGCCCCCCGAGTGCCGACATTACAAGTGTAATTACATGCCTGACATGAAGCATTTTTTTTATTATTTATTTTAA